GTGCGACACAGTACTGCACAAAACCCACGGAATGGGGTGCTGTGTCTGGCGTTCTCGTTAAGTCGCCCCCCTACGTATGTACCATTGAAGATGAATCCTCTCATCCTTTGGTCGCAGCACCGGGATATCCTTGCAGCTAATCATTGCACTCGATTAATAGAGACTGAGAGGATCACAAATACCAAATGAACTGTATGCAGTGTTAGAAGCTACTCCAATCCGCCGACAATTTAACGTACCGGACGCTCGATTGGCAAGAGCCAAATTCGTACTGTGAAAAATAAACTGAACTGAACTTGCTCTCCGATGAACAAACTATCCCATAAGTTGTCAAACCAGTGTTTCAATTCAGCCACTGAGGAGGCTGCTAGGGCTTCATCTGCTACATTCAGCAAACAACTGATGGTGTTTTTATCATGTTCCCAAGTAAGATCAGGTTGGTGGCCCTTTGCCGAAACTGCAGTTGACTATTTCGGGCCACTATGGATGAGACGAAAGACGTCGATGGAGAAACGGTACGGATGCCTGATGACCTGCCTGCAGTCACGAGCTTTGCATACAGAGACCATGCACAGCATGTCGACCGACTCCTTTCTTACGGCCTGGCAGAGATTCATGGGTAGACGAGGTAATCCATCGAATGTGTTCTCCAACAATGGGTCCAATTTCGTCGGTGCACAAAAGGAGTTGAGCAATTGGTTGACGCGGTTGACGAATGCGCCCTGCAAGACTGACTATCGCCATCTGGAACCCAATGGCACTACAATTCACCTTACAGCAGGCACCGCGGAGGAGTTTGGGAACGGCTCATACGGTCGGTGCGAAAAATATTGACAGCATTGTTTGAACAACAGGCGCCGGATGATGAAACTTTGAGCACATTTCTGGTAGAGGCCGAAAGGATTCGCCGGATGATGAAACTTTGAGTACATTTCTGGTAGAGGCGGAAAGGATACTCAACAACCGTCAGCGATGATCTGCAAGGACTGACGCTAACTCCGAGTGACCTTCTGCTATTGAGGTCCAATCAGGTTATAGATATGACAAAAGCTATTAGTGGATGCTATACCTCGGGTTGGAAGCATGCGAACTACCTGGCACGAGTGTTTTGGAAGCGTTGGACAAGAGAGTATTTGCCAACCCTCCAAGCTCGACAGAAGTGGTTGCATAGAGGACGGTCACTGAAGGTTAGGGACGTTGTTCTTATGGCTGACGAAAAACTACAACGCGACAACTGGCCACTGGGTGTAGTCATAGAAAGCCACACGGACTCAGATGGGCTAGTGAGAACAGTTAAATTGAAAACCTCTGCCGGTGAACAGGTGC